CGACGGGAAGTTTTTGGGAAACTTTTCGGCCTCCGGGGAGCCCTCGCGTGGCCCCAGGACCGTCAAGAAGCGGCCACGGATGTCGGATCTCCGGGGATAGGAACCTAGCACGACGAGGCGTCTGGAGGGCATTGAACTTTAGACCCGGGCGAGTTCGCATGCATGGCGTCTACATGCGCCCACATTCCGCCACCTTTTCAGGCAGCGCTGGTCCGAAAAGGCGCGTGAGTGAGCCCTGGTGTCTGCGTGTGAAGTCCAGACTTCCTTTCGGCATTCGCAACGCCCCCCCCCTCCATGCAAGCGAACCTGTTGCGGCTTACAGAAACAAAAAAATTGAAGCTCCCCGAAGGGTTCTCGCCCCGTGCGGGGCTCCAGGGGGGGGGCGCGGGGCGCGCCCTCGCCGCCGCGGCCGGCACCGCCCCTCGAAGACGTGGCTGGGAAACGTTCTGAGAACATAACGTGCAGACCACAAAGAGGTCGTCAGATCATTCTTCGGTGGGCCTCTAGGCGAACCAGGACGCTTCGCCACCGCTCGAGTCTTTGCTTCCGCCGAGCTCCCGCCAGGGGAACCCCCCCGCCGCCGTGCTGCTGCCGCTGGCCCCCTCCGCCGTCGAAAAAAAAAAAAGCCGAGGGTGGGGACGCGCCGAAGGCGAGCCCCGCTATCCCATACCTCTGATGCCTGTATTGTTTTCCCATGCGCGGCCCGCGAAGTCCCGACCCTTTCCCTGGAGGCCTCCCAGATCGGGGGGCGGAGGGCGGAGGATCGCGCCGCATCGCCAGTGCATCGCCGATGCATCGGCGATGCACTGGCGACGTCGGCGGTGCATCGGCGACGTCGCCGTGGGGAAACACGGTCTCCACATCGAGCCGCATCGTCGATGCATCGGCGATGCGGCGCGATCCTCCGACCCCATCTACTGGGACCCCATCTGGGAGGCCTAGATTTCCCGGGGCTGACGTTTCATTCCGAGCTGCTTCTTGACGGTCCTGGGGGCCTGTTGAGGCCAACCAGGACTGCCTGGCGAGCCTTTCTGCGCGCAACCCGAAGCCTCACCATCGCTACTCACCCAGGCCCCCGACGTCAAGACTTGTTCAAGACGTGACCCCAGCAGCCCGACCAATTCCCCTGAACTGGCGTTTCATCCCGAATCGTTGTTTGACGGCCCCCGGGACGGGCGAGGACCCTCAGAGGCCGAACAGTTGGAACAACCTCCGCCTGGATGCTCGTTTTTAGCATGCGTCGGAGGCCTGGGTCGAGGACCAGGCCCTGGCTGCTGTGGCGACCCCCGGCAGCCTTCGGGATGTGGCACATGATATTCTCCAGGTAAACGTCCAGCCTGTCGTCCAGCGAGGGCTCGGGGCCACCGCCGGGAGGCAGCACCTTGAAGGACGTGCAGTCGGAGAGGTCGCTGCTCCAGCCTCTGGGGAGGGCCAGCAAAGATGCCGGCGCCGGTTCGGGGCTGGTCCCTGTCGTGGCCATGCGGGCCCTGGCCAACCTGGATCACCGCGAAGGTACCGTCGGGGCGCTGACCTAAGGAACCCTAAATACGGAACGAGGCCTTTTTCCCACAAGTTAAACTTCGACTCCCCATGGAAAACCTCAGGGAAGCCTGAGGCAAGCTGTAAAATCGTCAAGGGACACCGAGCCCATCCCCAACGAAAAGGGTTCCTTCTTCAGCGCCCCGACTTTATGGGGGTTGTGAGTCGATACTGAGGTGGGTTATATCTGGCCTCACCCAGCTTTTCAGTGGGTGGCAAGTGCCCCAAGTTGCTTGGGTGGGCTCGCTAACTCCGCCAAGCGGGCGAGGCCCAACTAGCCCTGATCCTGACACCCCTAAGCCACTTAGGGCACTTCGAACCCACTGACAAGCTAGGTCAGGCCATCAATAACCCACCTTGGCATCCGCTTCTACCCCCACCCCATCTCCCTTTCGCAACCACCTTGGTGACTCAAGTGGTCGGCCATCACGGGCCATCTTTTCAAACTGTCAGGCTGATCTGGATAATGGTGGGCCATCCCGTCTTGGGGCCATCTTGGGGCCAGCGTGAAGGAGGACAGACTCTGCTCCGCGCTCTTGGGGATCTCGAAAAAGGGAGCTCTTGGGGAACTTTTGGTCCTGTAGGTCCGCAGACACAGCGCTGACCGTTCAGTCTTGAGCGACCGCCACCCTCCGAAAAAGGAGATCGTCCAAGGCTGGCCCGGTTCGGGCCGCCTGTGGGCCTCGAACCTCGAGCGCCCACGCCAGCGTCGCCGCCGCGTCGCGTCGAAGCGGTTCCATCCGTGGCGATTCCATCCGTGGCGGCGATGTCCCCCCCCCCACGGACTCGGAAGGGAGAGAACAAGGGGAAGGGCATCGGCATCGGCATGCTTGTCTCCCCTGTCAGCATCGATAGACCCATCTCCATGTAAACGTTTCCTTAATCGGCGTTTCGACATTGGGCGGAAGGGGGGGGAGGGGGGGGTCTGGCTCCGGACCTCTGCTTGACGCGACTGTTTGCAACAGGACGTCCAGCGGGGGAGACCCCACCTGCCTGAAACAGGCGCCAAAAACAGCCAAGATCTACTCCATGGGGGCGGGGGGAGGGGGGGGGCGAGAGGGCCCGCGCCGATCGGCAAAACGTTGCATACGAAAACGATCACACACATCAAGTAGAGCTGTTCCATGCTGGCCGACCTGCCTCCCCAGGCGGGGGGGCGATGCCGTTTCCGCGCCGGGCTCCGTGGCAACTATCCCCACCCTGGAGGCAGTATGCTCAGGTCGGGCATGACCTTCTACAGGCGGATTTGGGAGTAAAAATCAAACAAATTCGAACAACAAATCAAACATTGTCCAAACATAATCGAAAATCGTCCCCCGATTATTTTTCCTATTCTTGAATATTCTTCCTGTAGAGGGACACGCCCGACTTAACAATACGTATGCGGATGGCGCCGAGAGAAGCCCCGGCCCACTGGAACCTTCAGGCCCAAACCTCCGCGGTCCCCGGAAGTCCCGACCCTTTCCTTGGGCCATGGTGCTTCCTCCCCAGACCCCCATCGAGTCATGAAAAAAAATACGACCTCTGCGTGGAGGCCCTCTCGGGACCGCCAGAAAACGACTCGAGATGAGAAACCGGTCCCGGGGAATGGGTCCAGACCTCTGGGGGTCGCGTCATGAGAGAAGCATGACGTCCAGGGTCTGGGTCCCGAGTCGTTCTGCTGACGGTCCTGGGCCCGGGGGGGGCCCCCAGAGGCCGAGGCTGTCGAAACAGCTCCGTCTGGCGTTTTGTCCACACGCTGGACGTCTGGGGATAGATCTAACGGCACTGACTCTGGCAGCCGTCGCTCTTCAGCACCACCAGGTCGCAGCCGAGCAGGATCCGGTACGCCCCGCACCTCCGAGGCCGCCCGAGTAGGCATCCGAGCAGATGGGGTCGGAGGCTTGCGCCGCATCGCCGATGCATCGGCCATGCTTCGGCGACGGCGGGATTTGGCAACCACATGTGAACCCTGCCCCTGCAGGTCGGCTTTCTGAAAACCTCCGGCTGGGGGTCAGAATTCATTCGAAGGATGTCTGCAACCAGGTGAACCCCCAGCTGGGGGATCTGGGGATCCGATACTCGGCGCCGAGTGGACCTGCAGGGGTAGAGTTCGCAAATGGTCCCAGAGGGACTGGTGAGGCTTCGGGGCGCGCACGGGCAGGTCCCCCAGGTAGTCCCAGCTGGCCTCAACAGGCCCCCCGATTAGCCCCAGCCGGCCACAACAGGCCCCCGAGCACTCCGGGGCGGTCTCAACACCCTGGCGCCGTTTCCGGCGGCGACTCTGGGGGGCTCCGCGCCCCAGGGTTGAGCTGCTCAGTGTTGAGACCGCCCCAGACTACTCGGAAGGGCTCGTGAGGCCAGCAGGGGCTACTCGGGAAGCCTGTTGAGGCCAGCCGGGCCTACCCTGGGGGGGGCTGTCCGTGCGCAGCCGGATACCTTACCAGATGCATTGGCGATGTTTCGGTGACGGCGAGCTGGGGTAAACAGGCTCCAGCTCGCCACATCTGCGGCAGGTTCGCGTCGTGAGGACATCGGCTTTGGCTTCTGACACCGTGTGGATTGCTCAACCTGAAAACGATCGCGGCTCTTCAACAGCGCAGACCACTCTATGTCGGCCACTCGATGTCGGCCGATCCTGGGCCACTGGCGGCAGTCAACCTTGAACGCCTGCGATGGGGCAAGCCTCAGCTGCATCGAACCGCGAAATCGGATCGGATCGGAAACGGATAGGATCGCCAGCGAACCGTTCTGAATGGAATCGAACTCGGATCGCCACGCTTGGCTCTGGCTGGCCGAGGCCAGCGCCGGCGAATCGAACCGCACCGACTCGGATCGGAATCGCGGCCCCAGCCAGCGAAGCGCATCGGATCGCATCGGATCGCGGGCGGCTGGGGTCGCCGCTGCGCCGACACAGCGCGAACACTGATACCGCCGCTCGAGCCTCGACGTCATGCTCTTTCCATGACGTGGCTCCCTGGGGTTCTCGACCCATTCCATGGCAGGGTCGGCTTCTCGTCCGGAGCCGTTTCTGGACGGTCCCGGTGCCCCAGAGGGCTCCCAGCGAGGCCGAACATAGCATGAAACCTTGCGTCCTGAATGTTTCGCGATGCGACGGGGTCTGGGGAGGGAGGAGGGGGGCCACTGAGCCCACACGATACAAAACCGTCTCCCCGGGAACCCTCTCCCCTGCAGAACCGCTACCCCGGAACCGTTTCCCCGGAGGGCCGTTCCCCTGGAGACCTCTTCCCTGGAGGCCCCTTCCCCGGAGGACCGTTTCCCCGGAACCGTTCCCCAGAACCGCTTCCCCGGATCCGCTTCCCCGGAGCCGTTTCCCGGGAACCGCTCCCCCGAGTCCGTGTCCCCAGACCCTCTTCCCTGCATGGAACCGCTTCCTGAATACACCCTCCGCCCCGGAACCGTTTCCCCGGACACCGCGTCCCCAGTATACCACTTCTCGAGGGAGGATGAGGGATGAATGAGGGAGGGATGAGAGATGAGGGAAGGAGGGATGATTGAGAGAGGGACAGAGGAAGGATGAGGGATGAGGGAGGCGGGATGGAGGGATGAAGGAGGAGAGAGGGAGGGATGGATGAGGAAGGGATGAGGGAGGGATGAGGGAGGGAGGGAGGTGAGGATCAGGGTGAAGAAAGGATAGATGAGGGCTGAGGGAAGGAGGGATGAGGGAGGGAGGGAGGGCGGAAGGATGAGGAATGAGGGATGATAAGTAGGGGGTTACGAGGGATGAGGGAAAACGGAGGGAGGAGGAGGAGGAGGAGGAGGAGGAGGAGGAGGAGGAGGAGAAAGAAGAATCGTCGGCTGAAAAGGCCCAGAAGAACCACCCTGTACTTGCGACAAGCCATGCAAGTGTTACTGAGCATAAGGGATGTCTTGGGAAAACGGGCCAAACCAAATCGGATCACCTCAAGTGCTGAAATCTCTGATCCCAGAGTTGGACGGATGAGGGAGGGAGGGACAAGAGATGAGAAGAAGTAGCAAAGATGAGCGAGGGGGAAAAAGGGATGAAGGACCGGTCGGGCGGGCGGACCCTACCGGGGGTCTCGGGTCGGTCCTAAAGGGCGGGTCGGGCCGGGCGGGCGGGACATGAAGAAATTGCGCATCACCGAGCTGGCACGCGGATATCCTAACGGGCGGGACGGGTCGAGCGGGCGGGACATTAACGTATGGCGCATCATCGAGGCAGGACGCGAGTATCCTAACGGACGGGTCGGGTCGACTCGGGCGGACGGACCCTAACGGGCGGGGCGGGTCGGGTCGGGTCGGGCGGGACATGAAAGCTTGACGCATCATCGAGTTGGCACGCGATTACCCTGACGGGGCGGGACGGGTCCGGCGGGGGGGCGGACCCTCACGAGCGGGCAAGGTCGGGTCGGGCGGGCGGACCCTAACGGGCGGGTCGGGTTGGGTCGGGCGGGCGGACCCTCACGAGCGGGCAAGGTCGGGTCGGGCGGGCGGACCCTAACAGGCGGGTCGGGTTGGGTCGGGCGGGTGGACCCTAACGGGCGGGTCGGGTCGGGTCAGGCGGGACATGAAAGTATGATGCATCATTGAGTTGGCACGCGAGTGCCCCAACGGGCGGGTCGGGTCGGGCAGACCCTAACGGGCGGGACGGGTCGGTTCTTGCGGGTGGACCTCTCGGGTCGGGTCGTGCGGGAGGGATATGAAAGTATGATGCGTCATCGAGTTGGCACGCGACTACCCTGACGGGCGGGACGGGCCCGGCGGGCGGGCGGAACCCTCACGGGCGGGACGGGTTGGGTCGGGCGGGCGGACCCTAGCGGGCGGCTCGGGTCGGGTCGAGCGGGCGGACCCTGACGGGCGGGTCGGGTCGGTCGGGCGGGACATGAAAGTATTGTTGGCACGCGAGTCCCCTGACGGGCGGGTCGGGGCTGGCGGGCAGGCGGGTGCCAGAGCACCCAGCTCGAGTGCCTGGCCCGGAGCACCGCGAGTACCCACCTGGAGTGCCTGGAGCGCCAGTCGACCGATCCAGTTCTGTGGAAGCGGTCCTGCGGAACCTGGCCTGTGGAACTGGTCCTGCGGAACCGGGCGCGTGGAAGCAATTCTGTGGAACCAGCCCTGTAGAACTGGTCCTGTGGAACTGGTTCCGCGAAACCAGTTCTGCGGAACTGGTCCTGTTGAACAGGTCTCCGTTGAACCGGGTTTTGCTGAACCTTTCGTCTGTTGAAACGGTCGTCTGTTGAACCGGTCCCTGTTGAACCGGTCGTCTGGTGAATTGGTCTTCTCGCTCCCCACACTGGCCCCCTCCTCCCTCCCCCGCCTGGTAGGAAAAACAAGCGCAACTCCACCCCCGCCTGCCAGGCGGGGGTGTAGTTGCGCTTGTTTTCCTGAGGAGGTCTCCCAGATGGGGTTGGAGGATCGCCCAGCACCGCCGATGCATGGGCGATGCATCGGCGATGCCTGGGCCACGTTGGCGTGGAGAAATCGAGCTCCAGATCGAGCCGCGTCGCCGATGCATCGGCGACGCGGAGCGATCCTTCGACTCCATCCACTCGGACCCCATCTGGGAGGCCTAATGAGAGTTAGGTCGGGCATGTCCTCCTATAGGCGGATTTTGGCGACAGTGAAAAACAGTCAAACAATACCCCCAAAAAATAATCCACAAATAGTCGAAAAATCGTGCCCATAATAATTTTTTGACTATCGGGGGATACTCCTCCTGCAGAGGGACGCGCCCGACTTAGGCCTTGGTTTCCCCAGCTGGAGGCACCGCCACTCGAAGGAGCGCCCCATGCGGCTGGGCTGGGGCGGGATCCCGGAGAACAGGGCGCGCACGGCCTCTCTCGGGGGGCGGAGGAGGAGGAGGAGGAGGCGGAGGCGGAGGAGGAGGAGGAAGAAGCGGAGGAGGGGAGGAGGAGGAGGAGAAGGAGGAGGAGGAGGAGGAGGAGAAGGAGGAGGAGGAGGAGGAGGAGAAGGAGGAGGAGGCGGAGGAGGGGGAGGAGGAGGAGGAGGAGGAGGAGGGAAGCAGGAGGAGGGGGAGGAGGAGAGGAGGGAGGAGGAGAGGAGGAGGGAGGAGGAGGAGGAGGAGGAGGAGGAGGAGGGAGGAGGAGGAGGAGGAGGAGGAGGAGGAGGAGGAGGGAGGAGGAGGAGGGAGGAGGAGGAGGAGGAGGAGGAGGAGGAGGAGGAGGAGGAGGAGGAGGAGGAGGAGGAGGAGGAGGAGGAGGAGGAGGAGGAGGAGGAGGAGGAGGAGGAGGGGGGGGGCTAAGCGGCGCGCGCTGAGATGGCCGACGCGGCAGACACACACGGTGGGGGCATTGGACAAGGAACCCTTCGATCAGAAATCCAGGGTCTGGAAGCGAGTGGGATCTCGATTGGTGCTTGGCCATGGATATCACCACCACCCTCATCTGACAAGGAAGCCTCCAGGGTATGGAGGCTCCTGGGCACATTCCTTACCGAACACCCCCACCGTACGATCAGAAGTCCTGCTGTGAGAAACCCCTCAGACCCAAGCGTTGCATTTTTTCGCAACGGGCATTTTCGCCCGCCTTCGGGCCCCGTGACCCTCGCAGATCGATCTGGCGCGACAGATGCTGCAGAAGGATGGGGCCCATGGCCCTGGGGCTCTGGTCCAGTTTTTGCTTTGCGGTGTTGCATTTCGCTAGAAACGTCGGATCTGAGGGATCTGGGTGCACATCGTTCGTCGACTCTGAGCTTCGTGGGGTGCGCCAGGGCTCTGCGCGCCCATCGGCAGATGAAAGAAAGTGTGGCAAGTGGATCAGCCCGTTGGCAGGTCCGCTTCTCTGCCGGCGCGCCTGCTGCAGCGGGCTGTGCGGCGGGCGCACCGACCCGCCCCACCCAGGCCTCGAGGAGTGACCTCCATCCCGCGTCGCTCACCGGTGAGGCTTCGAGGTGCGCACAGACTCGAGCAGGGACCGACCGTCCCAGCATTCCTACAGGCCTACGACGAGATGTTCTTAGAACCCAGAAATATTCGAACAAAAACAAGCACATGTTTTCTCTGCCTCACTGAAGAACTACGGGCATCGCGCGCGAGAGGTGATGTCTACGGGTCAGCGCGCGAGGGGCATTGCATATATCATGTCCTACGGAAAACGGCACTATTTACGTACAACTAAAAGGAGAGTCTGACGCTCTCTCGCTCCAGAAACGCGCGCCTGGCAGCGCTCTGGTGGTTGAGCATGGCCACTGCTGCACTTAGTGGCTCAGCCTTGTATGTACATGGAGCACGCACGGTGCACGCGAGGAAAAGGAGGGAGGAGGAGGGGGGGATGGAGGCGGGGAGGGAGGACGGAGGGCTCCACCCATTCTGCGGTTGGGCATGAGCGCCGCTGCCTTGTGGCGCTCACGGCTGCGCAAGGACCTGTGCGATGAGCTTGTCCATGAAGGCCGTCACGAAGGGCCCCAGATCGAAGCGCTCCCGCTCCCGGCGGGACGGCCTCGACATCTTCGCGAGCACGCGGGCGAGCAGCTGCTCCTTGCGCTCCAGGAGCGACTCGCGGTGCTTCACGACCCTCCCGGCCACAGTCCTGTTGTGCGCGGCGACCCTGGCCGCACGCTCGGAGACGAGCAGCGAGCGGGCCGCGACTGCCTTCTCGACCCTGGACGCCAGCCCCTCCTGCTTGAGGCGGTCGCTCCAGCTCGCCCCCAGGCCGCGCTGCGAGAGCGCCAGGCGCCGGGCGGGTGCGACGGGGCGGGGGCGCGGCGAGAGCTTGCACAGGGCGCGCGGGCGCTCTGCCCCGGCCGTCTGCGCCGCGTTCGCGACCGCCTCGTTGTGCTCGCGGGCGCGCTCCGCGCGGCGCCACAGCGCCACCTCGCGCACCAGCGAGGCGACCTCGGCCCTGCCCGCCGCGCGCGCGGCGAGGGCGCACAGGCGCGCGGCCCCCTGGCGGTCCCGCCCGCAGGCGCGGTTGGCGGGTCCCCTCGCCGCCACGGCCTTGTTGTGCTCCGCGGCCCGGCCGCTGCGCTCCGCCACGCGCCCCGCGCGCAGCTCACAGGCCCGCCGCAGGCGCGCCGCGAGCTGGGCGCCCAGGCGCCGGCAGCGCTGCGCCTCCCGCTCCGACGCGCGCTCCGCTGCGCACCGCTTCTGCTGGTTCGTCGCGCGGGCGCGCGCGGCGCGCTGCTCGCCAGGCGGCGAGAGCGGCAACCCGGCGGCGCCGGCCTGCGCAGCGCGGCGACGGCGCGGGCCGGCTGCGGCGCGGCGGCAGGCAGGCGCGGGCACGAGCGCCCAGCGCGCCGCCACGAGCTCCTTGACGGGCACCTCGAAGGCGATGCCGTGGGGGGCGACCACGGGGTCGACGAGCACGTCGTCGAGGGCGTCGTCCACGGCCTCCCACGGCTGGGCCCACGCCTCCAGGCTCACGGGGGCCGCCGGCGCAGCGTCGGCGGTCTGCGGGGCGGGCATGGCGAGCCCGCGGGTGCCCGAGCGGGCGGCGCTGCGGGCCACTGGGCGGGCAGGGTGCGGCTTGTTCTGAGAACAAAAACTATGCTGACGGAGTTCCCCACGTGAGGATGTTGAGGGCTTCATGGGGCCAATGGGGCAAAATGATAACAATACGAATGGAAGGGCCATCGCAAAGGTACGTGCGAAAGAAGCGGCAGACGAAGCCAAAGGAGGGGGAGCAGCAGGGAGGAAGACGACGGCTGTTCAGGAAGCACGTTCGTCCCTGGAGGAGTGTGCGGGGCACGAAACCTGATAAATAACAGCATGGTTTGCGAATACCCTCCTCTCTCAGGCGGGGCCTCCCTGGAGGAGTGGGAGGTGCACGAAACCTGATAAATAGCAGGGATTGCGAACACCCTCCTCGCTCAGGCGGGGCCTCCCTGGAGGGGTGGGAGGGACACGAAACCAGATAAATGACACGGTTTGCGAATGCCCTCCTCGCTCAGGCGGGGCCTCCCTGGAGGAGTGGGAGGGGCACGAAACCTGACAAATAACATGGTTTGCGAATACCCTCCTCGCTCAGGCGGGGCCTCCCTGGAGGAGTGGGAGGGGCACGAAACCTGATAAATAACATGGTCTGCGAATACCCTCCTCGCTTAGGCGGGGCCTCCCTGGAGGAGTGGGAGTGAGAGTGGCCTCTCTGGCGTGGCCTCCCTGCAGTGGTAGGTACTGTATGGTAGCTTTGGTATGGTAGGTGTGGTGTGGTATAGTATGGTATGGTATGGTATGGTATAGTAGGGCATGATATGGTAGGTATGGTATGGTATGGTATGGTATGGTATGGTATGGTAGGGCTGGTATGGTAGGTATAATAGGTTTGGTATGGCAGGTGTGGTATGGTAGGTGTGGTATGGTAGGTACGGTTTTTGTATGGAATGGTATGGTATGGTAGGTATGATATGAGATGGTAGGTATGGTAGAGGAGGAGGAGGAGGAGGAGGAGGAGGAGGAGGAGGGAGAAGGACAAGGAGGAGAAGGAGGAGAAGGAGAAGGAGAGGGTGTTCTGGGAAAACAAGAACCCCACTCATGATGTGGAAACAATGTTCCTAGAACAGAAACCCGATGTTTGAAAACAAGACAGTCTCAGCCAGAAATGGTCTGAGAACATTTCGCGCAAACCACAAACGATCCTCAGAACATTCTTCGGCGGGCTTACATGGACGCCAGGGCGCTTCGCCACTGCTTGACGGACAGGTCCCCCAGGCAGTCCCGGCCGGCCTCGGCAAACCTCCCGAAGACTCCCGCGCCGTCTCAACACCCTGGCGCGCCGCCTCCGGCGGCGCCCCTGGGGCGCTCCGCGCCCAGGGGCGAGGTGTCGAGGCCGCCCTGGGCTACTCTGGGGGCCTGCGAGGCCAACTAGGACTTTCTGGCAGGAGAGCCTAGAATCGAATCGATGAGCCGGATCAGCGAGCGAAATGAATCGCATCGGCGGAAATCGGCAGCCGAGTCGGAAAAAGTCGAATCGGCGGAAATCGGCAGGCTTGTACGAGTCCAATAAAGAATCGGAACCCAAATCGGAATCCCAAGTCGAATCGCATCGGAACCGGAAGCCATCGAAATCGATTCGAATCGAATCGAATCGGAGGAATCGAAATGAGCTCTGATCTGGGGGGGCTTTCTCCGCGCAGCCCGAGGCCTCACTATTGCAACCCAGACGTGGGCTGTCCTCATGTTGGCAGCACGGGGTGCCCGGAAGTCCCGACACGTTCCCCGGGACCAGCGTTTCATCCCGAGTCGTTCTTGTCGACAGTCCCGGGGCCCAGTAGGGGCCCGCACTTGAATCACCGCGGTGGTTGCTAAGTGGATTTGGGGTTACGAATGACCAGAATCCATCATATCTGGCATAACCTAACATGTAAGTGAGTTACAAATGCCCCAAGAGGCTTGGGTCGGTATAATAACTCCGCTAAGTGGCTTGGGTGGGTTCGATAACTCCCACTTAGGCCCAATCTGAAATCAATGAGGACACGTCAGAACTACTTACGCGCTAGGTCAGGCCGGGTATAACCCACCTCGGCATCCACGCATGACCCCCTATCCACCCAGCAGCCCCCACGGCGACCCAAGCATGCCGAAGCTCAGCACGGCCAAGAACTTCCCGTCCTGACTGTTTCAAGGAGCGAGCTGCGATGATGACGATGACGATGACGATGACGATGACGAGGACGAGGACGAGGACGAGGACGTCATCGTCATCGGCGTCGTCCTCAACGTCGTCGTCTGGGTATTCACCTCGCCCCCCATCGCCTCCCGAGCGCCCACCCGGGTCTCGAGGGGGGAGCGGAGCGAAGCGGCGCGGAGCGGAGCGGATGGCCAAGCCTGCGTCCAGCGGGACCGCTCCGCGGTGCGCGAGATCGCGCGGAGAGGCCGGAAAGGGCACCGGGCGTGGACTCCGTGAGGCAGTGGCACACCGTGCGGTGCAGTCGGCCTCCTCCTCCTCCTCCTCCTTCTCCTCCTCCTCCTCCTCCTCCTCCTCCTCCCTTCCCCTCCCCTTTCCTCTCCCCCTCCATCCCCTCCCGCCCTCCGTCCTTCCTCTGTCCTCCCCCTCCCTGGCCTCGGACAGGGCACGCGAAAGAGGACACAAAAGCCTCCCGAGGGCCACACTGCCCCAGGAATGCAGGAGGCACGGGTCGCGAGACGCGTGGCACAAGGGTACCCTTGATCTGGCAGGGTCGACCTGCGAATCCGGGCCGACTGTATGGCCGGACTGCCACGGAAGAAAAGGAAGAGGAGGGAAGGGAGGAGCAGCGAGAGGAGGAAAGGAAGAGGAAGGAAGGGAAGGAAAGGAGGAGGAAGGAGGGAAGAGAAAAGGAAGAGAAAAGGGAAGGAGGGAGAGAGGAAAGGAAGAGGAAAGGAAGAGGGAAGGGAGGAGCAGCGAGAGGAGGGAAAGGAGGAAAGGAAGAGGAAGGAAAGGAAGAGGAGGGAAGGTAGGAGCAGCGAGAGGCACGGCACGCGTACGGCCAGACCTGGGGCAGAAGAGCATCCTTCAAGAACGTGGGGCCATGCGGCAGCCAAATCTGAACACTCGGGGGTACCCTCCCCAAGGACGCACAAGGACATCCAATGAACGCGAAGAAAAGATGGGGAGACCGAAAGGTACCCATACCGCTACTCCTGGGACCCCTCCCAGGGTGCGTTCTGACCAGAATTGCGAGGCAAATCCAACGGTGGCGACAAGGGCATCCCGGGAGGCCCAGAAAAGGGGAAAACGAGGGAGAGGTAGAGCCGTGGGTACCTTTTTCCTCGTCTGAACATCGGGGTGCCCTCCCCGAGCCGACCTCGACCTTCTGCCTCGGCCCGGCCGTACCCCAGGGCCCCAGGGCATCCTGGCGGCGGAGGCCTTGGCGGCGCGCACCGAGAGTTCGGTCGGGCGCGTCCTCCTAAAGGCGGATCTCTGACGAAACATCAAAGAGCAGTCTAAACATGCTGGGAGAAATCGTCGAAAATAGTCAAGGAATCGTCCCCTGATCATTGCTTGGCTATTCTTGAGTGTTCCTCCGGTTAGAGGGACAGGACCGACTTCGACCGAGAGGGCCGATGGGCTGGCGAGTGGGAGGCGGCCGCCTCCCGAGGCGGGCGGGTGGGCGGGGGGGGGCGTCTCCCGGGGAAGCTGCGCGCAGGCGCGGGCAGAGGTGCTCTCGCGACGTCGGGCGCTGCCCGAAAGGGGCGAGGGCGGCGGGGAACAGACCCCCTGAGCAGTGGCTTTCGTCTCCGCGACCTTTTCGCGCTCCCTCCTCTTGTCCTCAAGCCGCCTATGAAAACGGCCCACGCGAACACCACATCGTGGGCGTGAGACCAGGGATCGACCCCTGAGCAGTGCCTCTCTAGGGAAACGAGCTCTACACACCGACGCTTTTTCCGACCCTGCGCTGAAATTCACATATGAACGCGGATCCTGGTGTATACGGGATCCTGGTGTATACATTTTCCGGTGTTTCCCTGGGGCAACGGGGGAGAAGTATACACCACACCACCCCGACGTCGTCCCCAACCCTCCAAAAACATCCTGGGATTGAAACAACACCCGCCACTGGTAAAATATATGTTCCAATTTCCGACTCTCGTCTTTCGTTTCTTCAAGCCGCCCCTGCTGCAAAACAAGATCGAAACGAGAGCGGCCCGCGAAATCCCCCCCAAAAACGCAGTTTGTGGGGACCCGAGGGCCGGGGGCCTCTCCAGGGCCCCAGGTCTGGCCGAGGCCGGGGGCCAAACAACGCCGACCAGGGCATATCCCAACCTGGTTCGAGTCGACCGGAGGCTCGGGCAGCGCACACGTGGATCTCGCTGCAGGGGCTGCTACTGGGCATAGGGGTCAGAGGAGAAAAAAGGTACTGATACCGCTACCCTTCCCCCGTTTTCCCCTCGTTGGGCCTCCTGAGAGGCCCTCGTCACCACCGCTGGATTCGCCTCGAAATCCTGGTCAGAACGCGCCCCGGGAGAGGTCCAGGGAGTAGCGGTATCGGCACCTTTTGGTCTCCACAGCTACTGGGGATAGGGGGGGTATGAGTGGGCGCTAAGGTAGGCGGGCCTCGACCTGTAACCCCCCGCGCGTCACTCACGGTCGGGAACTTCTGCTTGGCGCGTCGCTGCGGCGGCCCTAGCGACACGCCATCCCCTGCAAGCGGATAGCGTGTCGCTCCGCTCAGCGGGGCGCGAGACTCGGAAAGGCTCGGGACGTTGAAGCCTGGGGGCTGGGATGTGGACAGCGTGTCGCGCCGAAGCGGGGCGGGCCAGAACCGGCGGAGCGGCACGCTGTCCCGAAGTTCCCAACCTCCGAGGCAGGCCGGAGGCCGCTGCTCAGAAGGGCCACCTGGACTGCGCCACTCCGCGCCCTCGCGCGACCATCCCCGCGCCCTCGCGCCCCCGTGGCACCCCGCTGGAGAAGGGCAGCTGCTCCGGCCGCAGGTCGCGGCGCGAGGTTCTCTCCTCGCGCCCCCGCGGGTGCCCTGGTCTGCGTCGGCCGCACGCAGGAGTGGTCCGCGCGAGCGAGTGACCTCTGGTGCGCGACTTCAGGGGGCCACGGGGGAGACCTACTGTCATCAATGCTGATGGGCATGTTTCCCACCACCACCACCATAAGTTTGAGGGGGGGTCCTCCTCGTCCTCTTCCTCCTCCTCCTCCTCCTCGTCCTCCTCCTCCTACTCCTCCTCGTCGTCGTCCTCCTCCTCCTCCTCCTCCTCCTTCCCCCCACCAACTTCTGGTGGTGGTGGTGGTGGAAAGCAGGCTCATCAAATGCGACCCGAGCGCGCCAGCCACCGCTGGCGGGAACCCCGTGGGCCCGCAGCGGAGGTCGCCGTGGCGGAGGGCCGCTCTCACGCGTAGCCAGCCAGAGGGCCTCCGACGGAGCCCCCATCAGGAGGCCCAGGCCGCTGCCGAGTCGCGCCCCCCCCCTTCCCAGAAGGCCGCCCGCCCCCTTCGCCACCGTCGCCGCCGCAGTCGTCGCCGCCGTCGTCGCGTTCGCCGCCGCCGCCGTCGCCGCCGTCTTCACCGCCGCCGCCCTCGACGCCGCCGCCGTCGCCGCACCACTCGCAACTCCCCCTTGGCGTGCCGACCCACCACACGGCAAGCCGACCACGCACACACACACACACACACACACACACACGCACACACACACAGAAACCGAAGATCGACCTGCCTCGATCATCGGCGCAAAACAGTTGATCGATGACCTCGACGACGTCAACGGCGGCGTCGTCGTCGTCGTCGACGACGACGTCGACGACAACGACGACGACGACGACCGCGACGACGAAAAGGACGACTACGACGACGGCGACGTTGACCGCGACGAATGTCGAACAACGGACGACTGCCACAGCAACGACGACGGTGGCGACGACGAGGACGACGACGACGACGACAAGAACGACGACGACGCCGACGAGGACGACGACTACGAGGATGACGAGGACGACGACGACAAGAACGACGACGACGACGACGACGAGGACGGCGACGAAGACGGCGACGGAGAGGGCGACGGCCACGGCGACGGCGACGGCGGCGGCGGCGACCAAGACCCCCGAGCCTCCAGGGCCACGCCGCAGCTGTGGCCGCCGCCGGCGCCCGACGAGAGCCGGAAGAGATCGGTCTGCCTCGACCCGGCCGCCGGCGCCGCCGCCGCCGCTTTCGCCGCCGCGGCCGCCGCCGCCGCGTTCGCCGCCGCCGCCGTCGCCGCTGTCGCCGACGCCGTCGCCTTTGCAGGCCTAGTCGCCGCCGCCGCCGTCCTCGCCGCTGCCATCGTCGCCGCAGTCGCGTGCACCGCCGCCGTCGCCGCCGCAGTCTTCGCCGCCGTCGCCGCTGCCGCCGCCGTCGCCGCCGCCGCTGTCGTCGACGGCGAAGGGCGGACGAATGGCGGAGGTCCGCTCTGCCTCAGCCCAGCCGCCGCGCCGCCGCCAGGCGCGTCGGCGGCGGCGGCGTCGGGGCCGTTGCCGCGGCTGGCCTCACCGGCGTCTGGCTGGTACGGGATGAGGGACCTGGCGCGCGGACCAAGACATGCCAAGGGTCCCTGAAAGAATCAGAACGGGAGGCGTGTGTCCTCATACTCCTCCCACTTCTCGCCCTGCACTTGCCCCCAGCCCCCCCCCGGGACCAGGTGGACGCCGCTCGGTCGGCGTGCTCCTGGGGCTGGCCACAAGCTCCTCCTCCTCCTCCTCCTCCTCCTCTCCTCCTCCTCCTCCTCCTCCTCCTCCTCCTCCTCCTCCTCCTCCCTCCTCCTCCTCTCCCTCTCCTCCCCACCACCCTCCTCCCTCCCTCCTCATCAACTCCCTCCTTCTCATCCTCCTCCTCCCTCCTCCTCCCTCCTCCTCCTCCTCCTCTCCTCCTCCTCCTCCTCCTCCTCCTCCTCCTCCTCCTCCTCGCCCTCACTCCCTCCCTCCCTCCGCTTAATCCTCCTCCTGCTCCGTCTTCATTCCGACCTCCGCCTGTAGGTCCTCATCCTCTTCCTTCGGGGATGGACAGACCCCCCTTGAGTAAAACGTGGTTTAGTGAAAACGACTTCGGGCCCAAACCTGGCGGGCGCAAGCCTGGAAAAAAACGGCCACGGCGCCCTCTCGAAAACCGAAAACGGACAATTCACTAATCGACGTGTCACTGTTTGGGGTTCTGTCCACCCCCGATTCCTCCCCTTGCTCCTCGTGTTCCTCCTGCTCTGCCTCCTTCTCCTGCTCATCCTACTCTCTCTCTTCCTCCACGATCCTGCTCCTCCTCCTTCTCCTCCTCCTCTTTCTCCTCCTCCTCTTCCTCCTCCTCCTCCTCCTCCTCCTCCTCCTCCTCCTCCCTCTTCCTCCTCCTCCTCCTCCTCCTCCTCCTCTTCCTCCTCCTCCTCCTCCTTCTCCTCCTCCTCCGCCTCCCCCCCTCGCTAGAGTGTGTGCCTGCTACGCTCAGCAGCGTTGGCAGGGTCCCTGCAGGAGCAGGTGCAAGGGCCACCGAACCACTACACAAGGCAGATTGAATCGTCTGTGGATGGGCCGGCACCCGACCACGGGGAGGCCTTTGGGGTGAGGGCCCCTGGGCCACGACGGGTCCCTCCTACGCGGTCATTTTTCACGTCCCGTCTACACGACAAGTCCTTGTTGACTGACGTGGGCCAATCTTAGATCAGCACGGAACGGACCGTAGAATCTGGAACACGGAAAAGCAAGACTGGTGCAAAACACCGATTTGGGCATCGTGGCCAACAAGTCAAACGGCAAGCAAGTGCAGAAAGGAGCAGGGCGATGAGACATGTAACAAGACGAGTTGCCCGCGAGGGCCAGGCGAGCAGCCTGTGAAGGAGCAGAGGGAACCAGACCCGTGACCAACATCACCCTAATCAGTGAGGAGGCCTCCTCCCGCCCCCCCTTGCTCCTGTTCCACGAAGGATGTCTTATAGCAGGACTCCTCCTCCTCCTCCTCCTCCTCCCCCTCCTCTTTCTCCTCCTCCTCCTCCTCCTCCTCCTCCTCCTCCTCCTCCTCCTCCTCCTCCCCCTCCTCCTCCTCCTCGTCCTCCTCCTCCTCCTCCTCCTCGCCCTCCCCCTGCCCTTCCTTCTCCTCTTCAGCCATTCTGGCTCAAGGGGCGTCGCGAGAGGATGGCTGTGGTCGCGGGCCTGGAAGTGGCCAACGCGACCCCTTGAGGCCCAGACCCATTCCCCGGGACCGGTTTCTCATCCCGAGTCGTTTTCTGACGGTTCCGAGGCCTGGGAAGGGCCCCCAGGGGCCGGACCTCCGAGTTTGTATTTGTGTGTTCGCCAGTCTTGGAGTGCCCGGGTGGCGGCGGCGCGGATCCTCGCTACCAAGGCCAGGCGCGGCGCGGAGAACTGCTCGGGAAGGTGTGCTGTATGAGGCCCGCTTTGACCAAACGGATTTGGCCATTCACAGACCAACAGGCGTCACGCTGGAACAACATGACGAGCGTGCTTCCTTCTGTGGTGTTTCGGAGGAGGAGGAGGAGGAGCAGGAAGAGGAGGAGGAGGAGGAGGAGGAGGAGGAGGGGGAGGGGGAGGAGAAGGAGGTCGAGGTGCAGGTGGAGGTGGAGATGGTGGAGGAGGAGGAGGAGGACGAGGAGGAGGAGGAGGAGGAGGAGGACGAGGAGGAGGAGGAGGAGGAGGAGGAGGAGGAGAAGAAGGGGGGAGGAGGAGGAAGAAGAGGGGGAGGAGGAGGAGGAGGAGGAGGAGAAGAAGAAGGGGGGAGGAGGGGTCCTGCTATAAGACATCCAGAGGGACATCCTTCGTGGACGTTCTCAAGCTTCTCAGGGTGCCCAATGCATTGTGGGCCCACGGAGATGAATAAACAAGTATCGTGGGGCGCCCGCTGACAGGCCAGTTTCCTGCTCCCTGCGTGCCTGCTGTAACCTCTCGGAGGCCCACGCGGATCTCTTGACCCAGCGCGAGCTGGTGGGCGGCCCCCGAGGCGCTGCTGGGTGGCTCTGGTGCTGGCCCGAGAAGTCCGCGCGGACCTGCGAGCGTTCACGTATGTAGCGACCTGCTCGACACACTTCACCTGCGCCTCCTCCACCTCCACCTCCACCTCCACCTCCTCCTCCTCCTCCTCCTCCTCCTCCTCCTCCTCCTGCGCGTCTTCTGCACCAGCGACTGGGGCCAACCGTGATCGTCTCATGCTTGTGTTTGTGTGCAGCCCAACACTGCGCACCCCCGCAGCGACTGCGCCTCCCGATCGTGCCAAGCAGACCCAGAGCCACACGAAGGCCAACCTGCAGTAGGCGAGTCCGCACGCGACACCTTGGCTTGTGCAGCGAGGACAAAGAGGAGGGGAGTGGGCAGCGTGATTGCCGAACTCGGTTGTGCCGTGCACCGCTTGCTTCAAACCTTGGCAGCGGCCAAAAATGAGAAAGCATCGGAAACGGGGGGGGAGGTAAGCAGAGGCGGAAATTCTGGCGTTTGCTCGACGCGCGAACGGCTGAACTGAGCACTCCTGGCCTGAACAGGGCTCCGTGAAACACCACGTAAACTCGCACAGCCAAGAGACCCAAGAGAGAGAAGGAGGAGGAAGAGGAGGAAGAGGATGAAGAGGAGGAAGAGGAGGAGGAGGAAGAGGGAGAGGAGGGCGAGGGGGAGGACGAGGGGGAGGCGGCGGTAGAGAGGGGCCCTGCCCAAACACTCGAACATTCCCAACGAGCGCAGCTAGGAGGAGGAGGAGGAGGAGGAGGAGGAGGAAGAGGATAAGAAGAAGGGGGAGAAGAAGAAGAAGAAGAAAGGACTACGTCGGGGACCAACCTCGAATCGAGGATAGTCCAGTAAATCCAAAATCAAAATGCCGCCTGCCGCCAGCGCCGGCCAAGACGGACAAATGCCGCCCCCCTCCGAAGAACAGCAGCCAGAACACATATCCAGTGGGAGATGGGGGAGGAGAAGGAGGAAAAGAGCGAAGCTGGGATGGCCGCTGGCGGCGTGGCTGCTGTGCGCGCGGGCGCGCGTATGCTTGCGCAGCGGTGAACGCGGCGGCGTGGCCGCGGACCACCTCCAAGGCGATCTGCCCGAGCGTCGCCGCGGTGGGCGTTCCGGTCCCCGCGGCGTTGCTCGCCCGGCAGGGCCCCAAGTGCGCCGCCGCGGTGCGAGTGGCCGAGCGCAGGAAGACGTCCGCGGGCAGGCTCGCCAGAGAGGAGGGCAGGAGGAAAATCCGAGAGGCGACGTGGAACGAGGGACTGCGAGCGCCACGCGAACCCCTGGACCACAAGGCAGCCCGCAGAGTGCCCAATGGAGTCCTGAGATGGCGCGTGCGGCAGAACATGCTCGTTGTCCCTCCTCTCTAGCCTGTGAGCGCGGAAGCCCCAACCCCCTTTGAAGCAATTTGGAACTCGGTTGGAAGAGTACATCTCGATCCGCACACTCGCGTGGAACACGCCTGCAATGGCCCCGCGCAGACCGCGCATTCACTCCTGGCTGTGAACGCGTGTGGAGCTTGCACCTATCTCCGCGCAACTCACTCACCGATTACGTCTTTGTCCCCTCCCTGGTTGAGCCCACGGCCATTGTGGCCTCACGCCCTCCCGCGGCGACGAGGTCCCCACATCCCACGGCGGCGTCTTGTTGAAGACGGACTTTTCTAGAACAACTATTCGTCTTAAAAGAAAGAAGAGTTGTATCACGTAATCACGAGTACATTGCTTCACAAACTATGTAGCAAATACCCGTATCTAAAAATCATTGAGTAAATCTACCATATGATTTGGAACGTTCATTTGTTTTTCTCCCCGCCCTTTTACACTCAGAAAAATCCTTGGGCGACACTCCGCCGCGTGGCCCTGGAAGAGGAACGCGCGCAGCGGCGGTCATTCTATCCGACGCCCAACGTGGTCGAACTGCAATGATGACCACCCACAACACCACCGGGGACTTGCGAAAAAGTCGAGAAACGGGCAAATAAACACACAAGGTGCACCGCCTCCGAATCAAGAGAAAGACCTGAACATCACTGGGGCAAGACACTTCTAACATTTCGAGGGCGCGGGCTGCGCCTCGGATCCGACTGGTGATTATATTCATTGTGCTTACCGCGAGTAGTATCAGTATGATTCCTCTTGTCATTACTCTTCGTCCTGTTCGTAAAACCATTGCTGCGGCCGGACCTCGGACAGAAGAACATTCTTCAAGAACAAGAGATCCTCCAGCGGCCAAATTGATTGACATTCGAGGGTGCCCTCCCCCAGTATGCACGAGACCACCCGACAAGCACGAACAACATGAGGGCACCCTCCCCGAACCGACCTCGATCTCATACCTCGCTCCGACCGTATCGCCTTCTTCGACACCTTGCCCCGCCGCGGCCGCGCTCTCCTGCAGTCGCTTCACGACGGGCGACAGCGGCAAGCTCCACTCGGCGCCCTCGCCCCCGGCGGCCTGCCCCCCCCCACGGCTGCCGGCGGTGCCGCCGGCAGTGCACCCCCGTGACGGGTCGCGAGGCGAGCGCGTGACACGAGGCGAGGCGAGCGCGTGTCGCGAATCCTCCCCCCTCCTCCTCCATCTCCTCCTCTTCTTCCTCCTCCTCCTCCTCCTCCTCCTCCATCTCCTCCTCCTCTCCTCCTCCTCCTCCTCTCTCCTCCTCCCCCCTCCTCCTCCATCTCCATCTCCATCTCCTCCTCCTCCTCCTCCTCCTCCTCCTCCTCCTCCTCCTCCTCCTCCTCCTCCTCCTCCTCCTCCTCCTCCTCCTCCCCGTAGCAATTTTGGCTCAAGTCTCATGGAGCTTACCTCCCGTGGGTCCCGACTCCAAAAGCTCGAGGCCGAGGTGGAAGGGCAGCCCCTTCCAGAGGCCTGGCTGCCTCGGCCCAGTTTGCGGCTCCTGCGGAGCCCGTCGCAATTCCTTCTTCCGTGAGCTCCTGTTGGAGCACCTGGCCCGCTCCCTTCTCTTGCGACATTGGCAGATGGACTGGATCTATGCGCCATGGACAAAGAAACCTCGTTCTGGTGGACGCGGGTCCCAGGCCAAGAAAGAGTACAGCGTGTGCTCAGTCTGCGGGCACTGGGAGTACGAATTCCACGACCACAAGTGTTGCTTGAAGTATAAAGATGATTACTTCCAGCGTCCTCGAGGCGGTGCTTGTGATGTTGGTGATAAGCGGGGCGGTGGCCGCAGTGGTAAAGGCAAAGGGAATGGATAAGGTCCTTCACCCGACGACGAGCTCGAGCGGCTTGCTGGCCTTTTTCCCAGAGCGTGCTGATGCTCTACGCGGGGCTCGGAGGGCTGATCCTCTTCCGCCCGCCCCCGAGCCTGTTGTGTCGTCCGACAATACGGTGGAAAAGAAAATGGCCAAGCACCGCACCGCACTTGCTATGGCAGTCGAGCGTGAGTCTACAGCTGGAAGATTGGCTCTGTTCGAGGTGGGGCAACGGTTGACGGTGGTGGTCCGCCATAAGGGAACCTTGGCCAAGGCTGAGGCTGTTCACGCAGAAGCTGTTGGGCAGTTGGAGCAAGCCGCAGCTGCCCATCGTGCTGCTTACGAGGAGATGGACACTTTCGACCCTGCGGAATTGCGACGGCAAGTACTGGCTGATGAGCAAGCTGAACATGACATCCGTGTGCGTGAACGACGCGTTGCAGCTGATGCGCGTGGCATTGCTGCCCCAGGCGCTGGTGCTGCTGGCCCTGGGCATCGCGAGCCAGGCGGCGCTGAAGCTATGTATGTCGATGATGGACGTGCTCCTGCGGCTCGCCCACATAGAGCACCTGCGCCTGCTAGTGTGCCTGACGGCGCAGGTCAGGCAGGAGGTCCAGGAGTTGCTGTCCCAGAGCCTCCTAACCTTGTCGGCATGTCTAAGGAGGAACTGCAGGACTGGTTCACCACCCATCACCAGCGGCTCGAGTTCTGGCAGCAGATCCAGGAGTTCAGGACGCACCTTGAGCAAGACGCGGTTTCTGAAGCCCCTTCTGATCTCGGTAATGAAGAGCAGTATCGCCAGGAATTGGAATCACTCAAAAAGCGCAGCATCGATGCCGCATTGCCCAAGATGAGCTTGATAAGATGTAGAAACTCACGCGGAAGCAGTCCCAGACCAAGGCCGCCAAACGTTTTCGTACAGCTCGTGAAGGCGCAGCGGCGTCTTTCAATCGAGTCTCACAGCAGATGCAACCTACTGCTCCCTGTTCACCACGCACAGGCTGGCGGAGACCAGGCGTCCGAACGACAGCAACTTAAACCCTATCGGCGCGCTTGAGGTGTCGAGGATCCGTAAGCAGCCTTCGGCGATTGAGTTGACGTTCTGCAATATTACTTATTTGAACCAGGTGACCTTGGATTTCTTGCAGCAGATTAGGCCCCTGTGCAACGGCTTCTTCGCTGCTGAACATCATCGTCTGAAGGGCCTCTCGCGCGCCAAACGCAATGCTTCTCAGATCGGATGGAGGCCGCATCTGAAACCGGCCCTCCCCTCCCCTGGAGGGGGCACTCATGGAGGGGTGAGAGCTGCGGTCTCTAAAGGTTTGAGGTTGCGTCGTGTTTTGGCCTCGGACTCGAGCCTGACTGATTTAGGCACTGGCCTAAACTGGCATTTGTTGGAATTGAAAACAAAGCAATGTGCAATTGCTGTAGGCGTGATCTATCCTATCTCTGACCTGGTTTTTCAGGGGAACACATCGAGCGGATTCGTGCCGTTGCCGATTCCGAGTATCTGGGGGCCCTGGCTACCCCGTGGCTTCTGATGGGGGACTTCAACGTGCCTGTGGGGGACATGGACTTGTCTGGTTTCCCGAACCTCGCTCGTGCCCGTACCTTAGTATCTGATGATGTCGGGGTAGCCTGTACCCAGGGACGTGGCACGTTGATCGGTTACGTGATTGCATCCACTGACTTGGCTGATTTGGTTCAAGTGAGCACGTATGCGCAGAGCCCGTTCAAGACTCGCGCGCGCCTGAAGGTGTACATACAACATGAGGCTCTTGAACAGTACATGTGGCTGCGTTGTAAGCCTATACCCCTTCCTGATTGTCCTGGGCCTGATCTTCCCTGGGCCCATCATTTCCTGAAAGCGGCTGCACGCGCGGGGCAAGCGAGCTTGCCTGGAGGCGGCGTCCCTGCATACCCCTACCGCGCTCTGGTCCCGCATGCGCAGGACATATTGAACGATGAGCTTTCAACTATTTGTCTTCTCTGGTCTAGAGCGACCGAAACCATGTTTGAGTCTCGTGCGGTTGCAGTTGACCAGAGAGAAGGCCAGGTAAAACGACATGAATTTCCTGTATTTCGGTGCTCTACTATTGGACGGAACCGGAACCGGAAATTCCAAAACCGGAACTCGCTTTCTGGGCCCAGCTTTCTCGGAACATGTTTGAGCATCGGCTTTGCCTGGCGCGTAAGTATTCAGACATGGTCGCGAGCTGAGGTAGCGCCCCCCAAGGTTTAGCTTCACAGATGGACAAGTACATCTTTGTAGGTGATGTGCATGGCATCGCTTGGTGGCGCTCCCAGCCCTCTCCCCTGCCAACTGAGGTGGAAGGCCCCGACGCCTTGACGGGCGCGATGTCTACAAGTTTGCGAGCGGCCTGGAAGGCAGCTCGCAATTCATCCAGAGCTCGCATGAAAGACTGGCTCTGGAAGGCCCTTCCCAAAGGTGCTTAAAAACGCGCATGCTTGGCGGAAGCGTGACTTCGGGGAAGTTGCCCAAGTTCTGTTGACCCCTGAGGGGGTCCGTCAGCTCCCTGGGATATCATGGGGCACCGTCGGGCTTTCTGGGGCCAGGTTTGGGAACCCCCTGGGAGTAGTAGTCTGCTTTCTGGAGTGCCGGGCGCGCTCAGACCCCGAGCCCCCGAATCCATCGCGGCCCTGGACCCGTTGGAGCCCGTTGGGCTCCAGCGGGCTGCTCGTTGTTTCTCTGCCTCCACTGCGGTTGGGGTGGACTCTTGGGCGCCCAGGGCCTTGGTGGATCTGCCTCGGGGCGCTGTTTTGGGGTACACGCAGCTCCTCAACCAGTGCGAAGCTCAGCTGTCCTGGCCCTCTCAGGTGCATCTGAGTCGCATTGCCTTACTCCCCAAAAATGTTGAATGTGATCGACCCATCTGTAAATGCCCCACCTTATATCGGGTGTGCCGTAAGGCCAGGAATTCCGATCTTGATAGGTGGGCATCTGATAGGTACAACTTTGGGGACACTCCTATTTGATGATCTAGTGCGCTTCAGGCTGTTTTACTTCGTGAGCTCGGGCACGAAATTGCCCGCATGCTTGGTCTCTGCTCAGTCGGCGCACAATGGGATCTGAGCAGATTTTTCGACTCGGCCCAGCCGCACAAGCTGATCGAGCTTGCCGTGGAGATGGACTACCGGCTCCACCTTCTCGACCTCGGTATTCTTATCCATGAGCCCCCTCGAGTATTAGAAGTTGGTGGTTTCGTTTCAGGTGTCATCCCTCCTGGGCGCAGTATACTAGCGGGTGTGTGCAATCAGTGTCTTGGGTATAGATTTATGTTTACGACATCTTGGGCTTCGCTCATATCCAATATCGTCCAGTGCAGGTGGCAGCTTCTGTGGATGATATCACTCAGTCCCAAGTAGGCCATATGAAAGAAGTCTTGAATGAGTTGATTCCTGCTGCTATGTTGTTGGCCCACCAGCTTGAATGAGTAGGTTGCACTATCTCTTCCAAGCCTGCGCTTGCGCGCAGTCATGCTGAGCTTGGCCGAGAGCTTGCTGCGCGTTTCAGGGCGACTGGGTTGCCCATTAAGCTCCAGGCTGCTGCTCGAGATCTGGGGGTCATGACCACGGCAGGTAAAAGGAGGTCTACTGTGACACTGATGCAGCGGCGCAGCCAGGCCTCCAGGAATGCCAAGAAGGTTGCTGTCCTCACCCGTATCTTCGGTAGTGTCCGACGTCTGTATAAGCCTGGGGTCCTCGCTGTCGGCTCGTGGTCTGACCAGGTTTTGGGGCTCCCCTCTGGACACATCCAATCGATGGGGGCCCAAGCGGCCATGTGTAGTGGCAGATGGCCCCCTGGTGCCTGCACTACCACGGCCTTGGGCCTTGTCAGCGCTGCCAAGGATGACCCCCAGTTTATGCTTCGCTATGAGCAATTGGTTGGCTTCTATGATGGTTGGCAAGACCTTGGTCACACTAAATGTATGGATGTTGCTAGGTGTTGGGGCCTTATCGTTGAGAAGTTCCGCCAGACCAAACATCGATGGCAATGTGTTCGCGGCCCCATTGCTGCGACGGTGGCTGTCTTGATGTACTTGAACGTCCTGCCGCTTTCCCGAATGGAGTGCATATCCGCTTCAGCGACCTGGCTTTCCCCCACACCCTCTGGCGCACGCTCATGGAGGTTTGCGGGGACATGTCGTGGAGCGGGGCTGCCAAATACTATGAAGGGTCAGGCTTAGAAGGAGGGGTTGACTTTACGGCCCCTCGGGCGTTTTTGAGAAACCTTGAAAAATACGGCTCGTTTGAGGCCGCTGGTATCCTCCGCAATGTGATGGCCGCTGGGTTGTGGACCGAGAACCGTCTTGCTCAGGCCGGCTACGAGTCGGCCACGGAAGGCCTCTGCCCTCGGTGCGGCCTGGAGGCCGAATCTGCTGCCCATCGCTTTTGGCGGTGCAAATGTAGTGATGATATCCCTAATGTGCTGCGATCGACCGATCCAATGTTTCCCAAGCTGAAGCTGTGTGGTATCCTGAATCCTCCTGCTTTTGGATACGCGGGCTGCCGCCCCTTTCCGCCAGTGTGGGTCACCTCCCTGATCCCCAGAAGCTTTCTTGGGATTCGGGTACCTTGGGTGCGGGGGCCCGTGTGCACGGCGGTGTTTGGGGGATCTACGGTAGCGGGGGTAAATATCACAAAGATTGGCGTCTGAGACGACGTGGCTGGGCTATTGTCCACCAAGGTCTTGCTGGCCTGTTTGACGGTGTGGCAAGCGGTACACCGCCAACTAAGGCGCAGTCCGCTGGCCGTGCTGAGTTGATTGCGCTTGTGCAGTTGGCGAGGCGGTCGACGGGTAACGTGAGAGTACAGTGTGACAACCTGACTGTTGTTAAAAGTGCTCGGCGCCCCCTCCGTGTTACAGCGAAAGCTTCCATGCTCGATTTCGGGAAGGAATACCACGAGGTCCTGGGGGCTCGGGGCGGCACGATTGATGTTCGGTGGACACAAAGTCACCCCACCCAGGCTCAGGCGCTTAACATGTGTATGGGCGATGCTAAGTTTTGCGTGGGTAAATCGGCTCGTTTGTTTGCCGGGAAGGCCGCCTATGCTGGCCAGGTGACAGAAGACCAGGCCCGACGGACTCGGATGGTCGATGAGCGGGTTTTCAAGGCTCTGGGCCGCCTTCTGGCTGTGCAGAGAGACGTGTTGTTTAATCTGACCGTGTAAAAGTGCGGCGAGAAAGCCGTACCCGAAAGTCTGTGCGTTCCTTGTATGAGCGATTGTGCAGGCTTAGAGATTGTGGTCATGACTGTGTACTTTGCTCAACGTCTTTCCAGTGCAGTCTGTGTGCACGCTCGTTCAGTCGTTCAGGCCCTCTCTGCGAGTTCTGGCCAAGCATATGAAACCCTGTGCAGAGATACATCAGCGAATTCAGGTCCTCCTTGCTAGGAGTGCACCTGTCCCTCTTCGCAGGGGGCCTTCACCTCCTCATGATTACCTCGGGCCTCGGGAAGCGGGAGTGGGTGGGGGATTGGATCATCCAGTGACTGAGCTATGCCATGCCTCGCATAAGCTAGCCACATATCGAGGAGTTTGTATTGTGAAGTCTGCGGGTGCCACTGTGTGGAAAACCCGCGGAATTTGAAGTCGGAGTGCTTGCCTCTTACAAAAGCTAGCAATGAAGTGCTCAGCAGGTTGAAGCGGGGACTGCCTCCTAAGTCTGGAAGCCGTTTCCACGATTTGTAAGATGGCTCAGCGTGCCCTAGTCTTGCTGCAGGTCACCACACACAGAAGTAGAATAGAATGGAATCCTCCTCCTCCTCCTCCTCCTCCTCCTCCTCCTCCTCCTCCTCCTCCTCCTCCTCCTCCTCCTCCTCCTGCTCGTCCTCCTCCTCCTCCTCCTGCTCGTCCTCCTCCTCCTCCTCCTCCTCCTCTTCTTCCTCCTGCTCCGCCTCCTCCAACTCCTCGTCCTCCTCCTCCTCCTCCTCCTGGTCGTCGTCCTCCTCCTCCTGGGCACCAGCTAGCGGCCGACAGAGTCTGTCCACCGCCACCGAGTGAAACGCGCGGCCATCGGCGCACCTTGCAACCGCCTATGGCCGCGCGGATCGGACATCAGGCTCAGGGCCTGCTCGGCAGGGGCCGAACAAACAGCACAAAAGCTGAAAGGCACGGACAAGTTTACCGCAAACTGCGGTTAGTCCGAGCCCTCTGAAACCTCATCCTCCCACCAGTCCCCGCCGCCTCCACCCTCCAACCGAAGGCGCTGACGGACGGCCTCCAGCTGCGGGCACGCACCGATGGCGTGCTGGGCTGGACGGGGCGGCAAAGAGGAAGAGGCAGACGACGCGGCGGCAGCAGCAGCGACGTCCAACATGGAAGATGGCTCAGATGGAGGAATGTGCGCCGTGCCCCATTCATGCCTGGGGCCGTCACTGGCAGAGCCTGCACGCATGGCACTCCTATCATCATCGCCAGTGGACGGCCGCATGGGCCGTCTCGCATCAGTGGAAGAAGAAGCGGCCGCCGCTGCAGCAGCCGCTTCAACAGGCAAACGCTCATCAGAAAGGGTCGGCGGCGGCAGCCGTCGCAAATCTGAAACGCAATGCACAACCTTATCTAGCTTAAATTCCCCTTTGTCGAGCCTCCTGGCAATAGTGTGGGCCCACTTGGGGACTCGTGGAGGGCAAGGCCCAGCAAGGGAGACCAGCCTCCTAGACGCAAAGGCCCCGCACCTGCCACAACAAACAACCTCGGTAGGTTTCGGCTGGGTCGGGACCGAAAAAGCGTAAAGCTGGTGAAAACGTAAACCTTTGGCCAAGAGGGGCACCTGGGACTGGGCAACTCTCTCAGCTAAGGTGAGCGGCTGGGGCTTGACAGGCTTGAGTGAGGGAGGAGCTTCACGCCGTGGCCTCTTCACTCGATGCAAGCAATCTGTCTCGGCCATGACCGCACCAACCTGCGCGATCCACACACCGAGGCCTCGCGCGAACTTCTGATGCTGAGCGGTCAGCTTCTGAAACTGGAGGGCCGGCCTGCGATCATGAGCACGAACTTTGGCCTCTTCATCTGCACACTTGTTCCCAAAGGTATGCCGATAGGACTGGACACCTTCCAAGACAGCCTTCTGGGTGACGTGGGACTTGACCTTAATGACCTGGACCCCGTCCCCCCAGTCGTCGAGCTTGTCCCAGACGAGCCTCCAGAGATGAGCCCAAGAAAAGCCCGCAGCAGTAGTGTGCTCCCTGCCCCATAGATTGACCCCTTTCACGACGAACGACGAGTCGGAGTGGACAATCACTGGCGGCGTAGCGTGCAACAGCACAGCATATAACGCGTACAACTCCGCACCATCAATATCTTGATGCGGTCCTGGCAGCACGCCAGTGAGAACAGTGGCAACTACATCGCCATTGGGCTTGAGGGAGACACACGAGAAGCCTGCAACTGGGTACGTGGGGAGATCTTCATAGAGCGACCCGTCCACAAAGACGTCACCAGTTAGATTCACAGGGTTACCTTCCCACCGATAGTATGGCTGCAGCGGCCACTGCAACAAGTCAGGAGGAACTCGAGGCTTACCGAGAACTCCGCGCTCAAGGAAGATCTCAACTAGCTTGTTGTGAAAGGCCTGCGCAGACAACAGTGCAACTCGCTCGGGAACAGGAGTGCCCAGCTCCTCAATGCACGAGCAGCGCGCATGCCTATGTGCAAGAGTGCCGTCACCATCATGACAGATGAGGCACTCGGGAGACTCGACCCAACCCTGCGCATGCTGTCGTGCTTGCGGCCACTGACCACCTATGGCCACAGAACGCAGGTAGGCCCCCTCGGAGGCCGTGAGCAACCGCGAGAAACACAGCGAGCGCAAGGGTTCGATCCAGATGCCTTCCAGGAACTCTGGAGCCTCGAAGTGCTGGGAGATCTTCTGCATCTGCCACGACACGACAGCTCGCTCGACAAGGGCCTCGACGGACCTAGGGCAGAGCTCCAAGGGGTTGACAACCTGGCCATTCGGGAAGATCCACCCACGAAGATTACTACAATCAACGCCAACTCTATGCAGCGACGCCCAGAGCGCGGAGAAGGGCCCCTTGATGGCTTGCCATGGAGAACTGTGGGGACCCAGCCTGGCAGCAGCAGCGGCAATACCTTTCTCCAGGGTGCGCTGCGGCATGAGGTCCCTCCAGAGGACGTGCATGAAGGCCTTGACGGGCTCCAAGGTGGCCCGATAAATGGGATCCATGCGAGGGGACGGCGTGAGCAGGAGTGCCATAGTGCGTGAACGCCCAGACGAACGAGAATCCAAAGCAGCAGCAGCAAGCGTGCGCAGCGTGTCAAGCTCAGTCATGCTCGTGCCCTGAACGCTCGTGCCAAACGTGACCGTGGTCTCGATAGCCGCGCGCGCCATGTGCTGCAACGTCTTCTTCCTAGCACTAGCCCCTTGTAGATGCCTTAGCCTTTTCAACTTGGCCTTGGCCACGGGGATCCTGGCAGCCCGGGTCCGCCGACGGGTAGCGCGAGCTGCCGAAAAATCAACTCCAAGATTGCGTTCCGAATGCACTGCAAGTGCGCGTACACTGACCAATCGTCGCTGTAGCTCGGCTTGCAGCTCGGGCGAATTCGCTAGCACACGTGACTTGTCAAGCGCTATGATCATGTCGACTCTGTGCAGCTCAGCCTTCAGAAGCACACCTGCTGCCGCTAACTCATCAACAACACGTCGTGCTCCTCCACTCCTCTGAAGGCTAAGGTCGTCGACACAAACAGCAAGAGGAACCGTAGGATGCTCCCTCCGAACCTCATCGAGAGGACCTATGAGCATCAGCTGCAAAAGGCAAGTGGCATACAGGCAGCCTGGAAGGATGGTCTGCTCGACCGACAACTGCTCACTGCACAGTCCTTGCATCTCCAAAACACGAGGGGCACGATAGGCCTGAACCAAAAGCTGAAGTTGCCAAAGCGGAAACCCAGTTTTTTGTGCGGCTCGGATAAGATGCTCATGCCGAACGAGTTCGAAAGCCTTTTTGAGATCGACGAGCAGCGTAGCCGTATCCGAGCCCGTATCAGAATGATATTCAGCCCAAGCCGCTTGAAGCCAGACCGAGAGCTCAGCTGACTTGCCCCGAATAGCCCACCAGAAATATCTATAGTTAGCTTTCTGCCAAGCCTGCAGTATATCCCGACGGAGCCTAGCTTGAACCCGACACAGACAGTGCATAAGTCCAAGCGGCCTGACTCCACCAAGCCGCTTAAGGATGAACACGATGCGGGTGGTCATCGGCGGCCACTCGTTCTGGTGCTCTATCGCAGAGAGAAGCTGACATAACAACTCCAGGGCTTCATCAGGGAGTCTTAAAAGCTGACGCGGTGGCAACTGGTCAAAACCACTTCCCGTCCCCTCTGGGAACGTCTGGAGGACTTTTTTGAGGTGCTCCAGGGTGGGGGCAGGAGGGCGTTCCCCAAGGTTGAGGGGCCAGGAGAGGGGAGGATGCTTTTCCCCGATCTGCCACCATTTAGCCCATTCAGCCTGAAGGATATCGATCTCTTGCATCGAGTTGGCAGGAGCGTACTGGACCAGCGTGGACGACTGCCATGCATCAGGAAGCTTGATATACTTAAAGAGAGCAGCCGAACCGTTGACCGAGTGCTTTCTGACCCATTGCTCCCACCCGGCCGTCTTGTGCAACGCGGCCGCACGAGTCAGAGATAAAGCTTGATCATTAGCCATAGCAGACAGCACCTGGGCAAAAGAGTAGCACATATCACAGTGCTGCACGTAGTCCAGCATGACGCAGAACTGCGCCATGTAGCCAGACTGGACCAAGGGCGAGGCCTGCAACTTCCTAGCTGCTCGCACGATCTGCCGAGTCCTGCTTAGCGTACATGGGTGGGATATAGCCTGAAACAACTGCGATACGTTTCGCCACCAAATTGCAGGCGGACTGACCCGAGGAAACGCAGGTGGTCCAGGACGTCCAGGAGAAACCCAGCGAAAACGTACGGGCCCACGGCGCCCACAAAAACCAGAGGCCAGATCGGGGTCGATTTGATAAACCTCAAGCAGCTCCAACTCGGCCGCCGTAATAAACAAGTCCCAAGACTCCGCAATCTTACCAGACTCAACGGCAGCACGAGCGCGGTCCCACCGATGCTCATCAGGTGCTTGACGGGGCCCAGCAGGAACAAGCACAGGAAACCTCTTGGGGACCTGGGCGACGCGAACCTTCACAGACTTACGAGGCGTACGAAGGCACATCCTGACAGGGTAGTGAGGTGCAACTGGAACAGAGTACACAACCTCAGCAGTGGCAAACGGCGCAAGCTCACGGCTGACAACAAAATAATCGATCACACGATCGGCTGGACGGCATGTTCCATCACTGGTGGAGATAATGACCCCGTCAATGGCTGAAACCCATCCGCTATAATCTAACACCTCAGGCTCCAGGTTGAAGTCCCCAGCCAGAATGAACGGCATCCCCAGGGTCCTCAAAACACCTCCTAGACGACACAATATGGCCCAGTTTTGCGTGGCTAGCCCGATACTGTGATGAAGGTAGATGCTAGCAATCAGGACGCCTCCAGGAAGGATGCCTCCAAAGTGCAACAACCCCAGGCGCCCAGGCTCCAGAGTATCGGGGGTCCCAAAGACAGCCGATAAACCAATATGCTTGGGTACCGAAAGAATGACTCCACCTGATGTGCCACCTCGTCCTGTGGCCACAGCAGGGAAGACTCGACCCCGTCGACCCTGACTCCGAAGTTGAGCTTCGAGTGGCTCAGCGTCGACAACATGAGATTCTTGAAGAGCCAGCACGTCAGCACTGGCAAGGGAGGAGGAGAGGAAAATGTCAAGCCCAGCACGCTCAGTGACGTTGCACGTCACAAAAGACCAGGCGCGCGGCTCAGAGGGCTCACTGCTACTCGCGCTGCTGCACCTTGGGCTTCTTGGCGCGCTCCAAGGCGTGCTGCAGGGCGGCTTCAACTGCACTGCGTGTGATGCCGTGGCTGCCAGCATCAGGGGCATCCTCTGCACTGAGGTCCACGGCCTCGCGCTGGCCAGCCTTGGCGACGAGGTCGTCGATCCACTCGCCGTCGAGGTCGGCAAAGCTGATGCCCTTGCCGTCCATGGCGTCGTCCTTGCTGTCGCTCGCCACGGCCGGGGGCTGACCAGGCTGACCATCAGCGCCAGGGCCAGCACCACTCTCAGCAGTTTGAGCTGCTTCGGCCGCCGCAGCCTCGGCAGCCTGCTTGGCTTGGCGCTCGACGGCCTGGTCCCGCTGCGTGATGAGCGTGTCGAAGTCGCTGAGCACGGAGGGGTTGACGCCGAGCTTCTGCAGCTGGTCACGGAGCGCAGCTGCGGGGTCATCAGCGTCACCGTTGGCCTGCTGCTGCCCCGAGAGCTTGGTGAAGGCCGTGGCCGCACGCTTGGCAGCCTCGCGCTCCTGCACCTGCAGGGCATTGAACTCGCACTGCAGCTTGTGGACGCGCTCGATCTGCAGCATGAGGTGGCCACGGGCCTTGTCCAAGGCCGTCTCGGCCTTCTGCACCTTCGCCTTGAGCGTGTCGTGCTCCATCTTGGCCTCTTTCGAGACAGCCATTGGGTCGCCACTGCGCACAGCACGACGTGCCAGCACCTTGGACCGAACAGCCACAGGAATAAGACCAGAGAGGGCATCAAACTGATCACTATCCATGACCAAGAACGCTTCGATCTGCTTATCATCGAGAGAATCGGATGTGGAGGTGTGTGATGAGCCCCCCCCACCGCCAACGCCTCCCCCACGAAGCTTCGGCGGCCCATTAGCCCACGCGCCCCCAGGGGGCTTTGCTGCAACGACACCAGGGGCTGCTGGACGGGGGGCTCCACAACAGTAGCACGTCTTGCGCCACTGGAAGTTATTCGAGAACTGACACTTCTTGACCGAGCAAGACCACGTCTGCAAACTCCACGGGTTACGGATGAAGCCACCGTTGCCGCGACCATTGCCACCCATGACAGACAAGCACCCAGAACAGGGAGTCTATCGCAAGAGTGGCAGTGGGGAGTGTACAGTACACAGGTATGCTGGGGTGAACTGATGGGGGCGCACCTCCCCCACGCCAGAATAACTCCAAGCCCGAGCCAGTGGCTACGGACTTGAGCCAAAATGGCTACGGATCGTCCTCCTCCTCCTCCTCCTCCTCCTTCTCCTCCTCCTCCTCCTCGACCTCGTCCTGCTCCTCCTCCTCCTCGTCCTCCTCCTCCTCCTCCTCCTCCTCCTCCTCCTCCTCCTCCTCGTCCTTCTCTTCCTCCTCATCCCCGGGTTTTGATGCCGGCTTGGACCCGAGCCGATCCGACACGTGCGCCGACTCCCTCCACCTCCTCCTCCTCCTCCTCCTCCTCCTCCTCATCATCATCATCATCATCATCATCATCATCATCACCACCACCACCACCACCAACCACCATCATCCATCATCATCATCATCATCATCATCATCATCATCATCATCATCATCATCATCATCATCATCATCATCATCATCATCATCATCATCAAGCATCATCATCATCATCATCATCATCAGCATCATCATCCATCATCAGCATCATCAGCATCATCATCAGCATCATCGCAGCATCATCAACCTGATCCTGCTGCTCCTTCTCCTCCTCCTCCTCCTCCTCCTCCTCCTCCCTCCTCCTCCTCCTCCTCCTCCTCCCCTCCCCCTCCCCCTCCTCCTCCTCCTCCTCCTCCCTCCTCCTCCTCCTCCTCCTCCTCCTCCTCCTCCTCCTCCTCCCACCTCCGCCTCCGCCTCCCGCTCCCCTCCGCCTCCGCCTCCGCCTCCGCCTCCGCCTTCCTCCTCCTCCTCCTCCTCCTCCTCCTCCTCCTCCTCCTCCTCCTCCTCCTCTCCTCTCCTCCTCCTCCTCCTCCTCCTCCTCCTCCCCCTCCTCCTTCTCCTCCCCCTTCTCCTGGATCTGGCATTCCACCTAGCGGTTTTTGAGAACATGTTGATCGGCTCCCTACAGAAAAGCCGTCGGGAATCAAGGCATTGGAGGTCTAGGTGCACCCATCGTGCTACCACCAGGAACGCTGAGCAAGTAACGATGGGGAATGCCTGGCCACGGCGAGCCTCGGCCACGAATCGGCTCCCCGACCTAGATCTAAGCAGCGGCCCGAAAACCCGAACCCATCATGAACCCAAAATGGTCGTTATTGCAGCGTCTTGACTGCAGCTGACTTCCCCCCAACACGGTCGCCGCCCTCCATCCGTTCCTCTAGCCCCCTCCCCGCTGCTCACCCCCCCAGACCTCCGAGACCTCCTCCCTCCCAGACCTCCAAACGCACATGGGCTTTCGCCGTTTTCGGTCTCTGGGGGTCCGCCCAGAGACACCGGCCCTGGGGAAGAGAGGGCAGGCCTCAGCTGGATCGAATCGCGAAACTGGGTCGGGTCAGGAAACGCATCGCATCGCGCCCGAGTCGGCGCGGCATCAGGCTGCCTGAGAGCGCGGCTCCTTTGGGATCGCGCATCGGGCTCCGATCCCCCCAGGAGGTTAGAGAGGCTCGGAATGTTCCAGGCCCTCTGGTCAGTTTTCTAAGCCTTCCCCAAAGACGCACAAGCAAAATACCTCTCAGAAGGCGCGAGGGCGTCTGAGAAGTCCCGCCGCCCTCTGAGCAGGCCTTCTCCTTCTTCCTCTTCCGCTTCCTCTTCCTATTCCTCTTTCTCGTCCTCTCCCTCTCCCCCTTCCTCTCACTTCTCGTCCTCTTCCTCTTCCTCGTCCTCTTCCTCTCCCTCTTTCTCGTCCTCCTCCTCCTCCTCTTCCTCTCGCCTCTCTTCCTCTTCCTCCTCCCCCTTCCTCTCGCTCTCTCCCTCTTCCTCGTTCTCGCCCACCCTGCCTCCCCCTCCTCTCCTCCTCGCTTCTCTCCCGCCCCCCCCCCCCACCTCGCTCGCCGCCGCCGTCTGCGGCCCCCGGCGCTCCGCCCGTGTGGGGGGAAGCGGCGGCTTGGCGGCGAGCGAGGGGGGGGGGAAGCGAAGGGGAGGGGAAAGGGGGAGGGGGAGAGGAAGAGGGAGAGGGAGAGGAAGAGGGGAAAGGGGGGAGGGAGAGAGGGAGAGGGAGAGGGAGAGGAAGAGAGGAGGGGGGAGGGGGAGAGGAAGAGGGAGAGGGAGAGGAAGAGGACGAGAGGACGAGGAAGAGGAATATGTAGGAAGCGGAAGCGGAAGAGGAGGAGGAGGGAGAAGGCCTGCTCGGAAGGCGGCGGGACTGCTCAGAGGCCCTCGCGCCCTCTGAGGGGCTGCTGACGGTCTCGAGGAAAGCTCGGGGGACCTCCGAGAAGCCCGAGAGGGGGACTCCCAAGCCTTCCGGGAAGGCCCGCCCCTGCGCACGTCCCCCCCCCTCGCTCGCCGCCGCGCAGGTGGGTGTGACCACTGCCACGCTCCAGCTTCCAAAACTCCGTCCACCGAATTACTTGCCCTCGCCATCGCTCGGACGTCCATTCCCTGTTTTTTTTTCCGGTTTTGTGAGTGGTTTTTCGCCAAGTGCTCAAGGATGCTCCTCGATGGCCCTCGCCGAAGGAAAAGTGCCCGAGCGACGCCAAGTGCCATCGCTCGGACGCCCTTCGGTTTCGTGTTTTTCTCTGTCGCGAGAGGATTCCATAATTATGCTCCTCGAGTGTCCTCGCCGAGAATCAGGTTGCCCCCATCATACTTCAGGGCCACATCCCAGAGATGATTTCGAGCGCCCCGAAGAGTGCCGAAACGGTGTCGAACGAGTCTCGCCTCCCAAAGCCCAACACGCGAAAGCCCTCATGCTTCGGTACTCTTCGTGGTGCTCGAGATCATCTCTGGTGGCCAAGGCCAAAGTGGGTCGGAACACCACAAGCCGAAACAAAAACGCACGCGGTGTCGAACAAGTATCGCCTCCCAGGTCCCGACGCGCGAAAACCCTCACGCTTCGGTACCCGTCGTGGTGCTCAAGATCATTTCTGGTGGTCAAGGCCAAAGCAGGCTGGGACGTCGCCGGGGCCCGGGGGGGGGGGCCGGGGTCGCAGGCCCGGGGCGGGACGGCCTGGGACGGCGCCGCGGGGGGGGGGGGGGAGCGGCGAGGGGGACGAGGAGGAGGAGGAGGAGGAGGAGGAGGAGGAGGAGGAGGAGCAGCAGGAGGCGAGACATTCTTCCTCCTCTTCCTCCTCCTCCTCCTCCTCCTCCTCCTCCTCCTCCTCCTCCTCCTCCTCCTCCTCGTCCTCCTCGTCCTCCTCTCCTCCTCCCTCCCATCCCTCCCTCCTCCCTCCCTCCCTCCCTCCCTCCCCTCCTCCTCCCCTCCTCCTCCTCCTCCTCCTCCTCCTCCTCCTCCTCCTCCTCCTCCTCCTCCTCCTCCTCCTCCTCCTCCTCCTCCTCCTCCTCCTCCTCTCCTCCTCCTCCTCCCTCCTCCTCCTCCTTCGCCTCCCTCTTCCTCCTCCTTCCTCCTCCTCCTCCTCCTTCCTCATCCTACTCCTC